AGAAAGTTGTTGGAGCGACCATTTGTTACGTTGTAATAACACTTTCTGGCCTTACTAAGTTGGAGCTTTTGAAACATGGAAACATGGTAATTACACATGAAACGATTAACTGCATGTATAGAATATATTAATCACAAAACATATTGGTTCTGTTTGGTAAATGGTTAGCTGATAGCTGATAGCTGATAGCTGGTTGGGTTAATTAATTAGAGGGTTAAGTAGTTGATAACATTAGTTGATTGTAGAAAGGTGTTTAGTAAATTAGCTATTAATTAGTTGATAACTGTTTGGTATAATGTATTTTCTTAAAAAGTTAATTAAAAAAAGTTGTTTTAAGCAGTTTTTTTTTTTAATTTTAGCATTTTGGAGTTACAAAAAGCTAATTAACCAAATACTTATTATATTGATTTTTTAACCAAGTCAAACAATTAATAGTGGTCAAATAAGTCAAAATTGGCTGATAAGCTAACTATTTTACTAAATATGGCCATTATCTGTTTGCAGTTACAATATATTATGTGTCTGTAATTAACATATTTTGTACTGCAATTACTAGTTTATGCATATGTCTGTAATTATCATTTTATGTGTCTTCAATTTAACATACACATAAATGAGTAACTGCAGGTACAGAATATATCAACTGTAGACACATAATTTTTGGACCAAAATTCACAATGCAATATATAAGGGTTGATTGAGAGTGATTGAATCGTTAACTGTTGTTCTATCAAATAGAGTTTTTTGATGAGGAGTGACTCGAGCCGATTTTGATCAGTCTCAAGCTAAGACAGATCAAAGACGAGACAGTATAGTAGAATAGAAGTGAAGCATCTATACTGGCAATATACTCAACTACACTAAATGACACTTGCTTTTAATTTGCACATATAAAGAAATGAGAAATGTTCCTAGGCCGACATCTTCATCCACAAGTAAGAATAGTCTGCGCAGGAGCTTTTAGAGTTGATAGAAACAATTGATTATTATATGGACGAATTCAATTCAATTCAATTCAATTCCCCCTACACATCCCTCTCCATCTTTCCTTTTCTTGACCTAACTCTTTGTTCCTATGATTTTTTCCCTTTCTTACGTTACTACCTAAATTAAATACCCAATCTCCCTAAATTAAACCTTGTGCAAATTAGTTTTAATTTGTCATAATTGGAAAGTAAGCCACCTTTCTATTTTCATTATTCTTATGCCATTATCAAACAATGCAAAAAGCTAGGGATTAATTAACAGTTAACACAGCGACTTAACACTTGCCGCCGTAATTAATTAAGCCTGCTCTTAATCCTACAATAGCTTCCACTTTAGGGTCATAAATCCCTCTCAATCTCCTACGTGGCCATATACATCAAATGCAAAAAAGAACAATATAAATAGAAAATGATGTAAGGATCATAAATCCCTTTCTTGAGTTAAGTTGATCCCGTCCCTAAACTTTAACCTTGATTATGTTAGTTTATCTCACACATACACACACATATAATTATTTTTGTAATTATATATTTTTTTATTTTTATTATGCTAGGTTAGCATATAAAATAATTTTGTTTCTCAAGTTCAATATTTTAGTTAATATTTTAAAATCATGTAATTATATATGATACCGTTATCTTATTTATTTATTTTAATTTTAAAATTTATTAAAATATATGAAAATATGTTAAGGATATTATAGTGTATGAATAAAAGATAACCCTAAACCAAACATGATTATATTACATACCCCAATTTTAACCAAACACATGAATCTAACATTCCCAGTAATCTAACATTCCCAGCAATCTAACATTCCCTAAGGTAATCTAACATTCCGTGAACCAAATGACCCCTAACTCTAATACTAATTCCTGAATTTTTTTGTAAATTTTGATCCAGATCAGAACTTTTTAACATGAGGTTTCTTTAAGAGTTAATCCTATGATCTTAGAGTTGCATTAACCATCCGTTTATCAAGTGTTCTTTTGATTTTAAATTAAACTTACTATAAATTTGAAAAGAAATAATATTTTTGACAACACATGTAACATAAACGCTAGTCATTAAGAATTTCCTTGCAATATATATTTTGGTTTAGAATTTTTTAACATGGTGTACCTTGCAAGAATTCATCATCTGATTTTGTAGTTGTATTAATAGTACGGTCGTCCATTTACCAACTATTTCAAACTCATTATTTTAGCAAAGGGTTTTGAGTTAGGCATGGTAATGTAAAGGTGAAAGCCCAGGAAGGGATGACAATCTAGGCTGATTTGAGCCGATCAACTATGAGCAAGTTAGACTAATTTATCTTTTTATTATTGACCTTTGTTAGTTAATATCACAATATTAGTTTAATCTATAGTTCACATTTGAACAATAACGACAAATTTTATTGTAAATCAAAAGAATGGAGGACAAAGTCACATGATTGATATAAGTTCAATGTGTTTAGAACCAATAAAATGATATGATTTTGGTGTTTGGGTACCTAGCTACATTATATTAGTATTAGAAAGAGATGGAGGGGTGAGGTACAGTGGTGGTGTCCACAATGGCAGACTTTATGCCCAACTCGATCAATCCCTCTCATCTTTTTCCCCCTTTGTGCTTTCTACACATGTCCAACTTTGCAATATCACATGCCTCTCCCAATCTCAACCCTTGTTCTCATCATCCTTCTTTTCCACTTCTTTTATCTTTCATGCATGACATCATTCCCATACCTCCATCGCTCATTAATCCTAATACAAATGTCTTATATCTAATTAGTTTTTAATTTATCCGTTTATCTTTCCATAAAAGCTGTCTATTGACCTTTTTAATTTGAAATGATCGGATATGGACAACCTAAGCATACATTGAACATGTGATCATCTGCAAATGAAAATGGTACTCCGTATTTGATTCCTCCGATGCAATCATGGTACCTCTGGTCCCTCTGATCTTGCAATCTGAATATGGTTCCCTTAGATTTTGTTTTGGTTATCTTCCGTGCATCATCGTTTTAATCCTTTTCTTGGATTGATATTTGATGTCTGCAACAAGCCCAACTTCTGGCCCATAAGATATTGTAACCTGGATTTTTGGGTTTGTTGCTAAATATTCATCAATGGATGTTTGCCCTTAATTCGCAGGTTGGCACTTCAAAGATTTGATGAATTATCCAGGTAGCCCAAGCCCAAGGGTTGCGTCTTGCGAGGCCCTTAATCCAAAACTACCTAAGAAATGGTGCATTTAAGATAGCGATTAGGACAACTCACCACTATGACCATGTTTGATAAATGGCTGTTAGCTGTTAGTTAATTGTATTAATTAAAAGGTATAACTAGTTGATAACATTAACTGATTGTAGAAAATATTTGACAAATTAATTGTTAGTTGATAACTATTTAGTATAATTTTTTGAAAAAATTATTTTAAACAACTTTTTAAATTTTAACATTTTAAATTAAATATTTAACAAAATTAAATAATTAATAATGATTAAATAAGTTAAAATTAACTGATAGACTAATTATTTTATCAAACAAAATCCAATGTTTTCCATTAACTAGTGCTTTTACTTTTAATTCATTAGTGTTTTAACAACGTCAACCCACAATTAATTAAAGAATAAATTAAAATTCCCAAGGCACGCACGCTTTTGAAACAGCGGTCATGTTCATGCATCTTAATTCGCAATTGCCAACACCGACGCATCCTAATCAAGATTACACAACTCACCGCCATCTTCATCTTTTTCATCTTCTTTACTCTTTCCAATACCATTCAAAAGGACATCTGGAAATCACAACCACCATTTCCCAATACCTTTGAAATCAGAGAGACATGAAAAAAGGGGAAACACAAACAAACTGATTCTCGTATGAAAATATTCCAAATATGATTGTGGTTTCTATCTGGATCAATGTTAATAATATTCAGTATAATTATATATAATATACTCCGTATTTAATTACATTATTAAATTTAGTGTTATTAATAATACTCAATACAATTATATAATATATATTTAACTATATAAGCACAGTTTGTATTCGTATTGATAAAATAAACATAAAGTGACATAGAATTAAGTACCTCCTAGGAAAAAGGGGCTATACCAAAACCTATGTAGTTGTGACACGTTTCAAATTCCCACTAAATACAATGTTTAATAGATCGAGACAAAAACAAAATTGTAGCATAAGGGTTTTCTAGTTGAGTTTTTTGCACTTTTAGTCCCACGACTATAGTGGCACTGGCAGAATTGATCCACGACTTTTGAACTTTGCAATTTTAGTCCACGACTATTGATTTTTTTTGTAAAAATGGTCCTTCCGGCCACTTTTCCGTCAAAATTTCACCGGAAAAAAAAAATTCTCTATTTTTAACCGGGTTAAAATTGACATTTTACTTATCTCAAAAAATTAAAAGAAAAAAATTGATATTTGACTACATACAATATTACTGGGCTACATATTACTGCCCTAGGCAGCGGAGTACATGTACCACTCCAATCCTACTGCCGGATAACCCAACTAGCCCGGGGAACGCCACGGGCGCTCCGCTGCTTACTGACAGCCCTGCCTGCTCTAGGAACTCCGCCGCCTGGGGCAGTAGTATGTAGCCCAGTAATATTGTATGTGGTCAAATATCAATTTTTTTCTTTTAATTTTTTGAGATAAGTAAAATGTCAATTTTAACCCGGCTAAAAATGGAGAATTTTTTTTTCCGGTGAAATTTTGACGGAAAAGTGGCCGGAAGGACCATTTTTGCAAAAAAATCAATAGTCGTGGACTAAAATTGCAAGGTTCAAAAGTCGTGGATCAATTCTGCCAGTGCCACTATAGTCGTGGGACTAAAAGTGCAAAAAACTCTTTTCTAGTTCAACTTTTTATGTAATTTGTGTATTATTACACAATAACAAAATTTACTCTATGCACACATTCGGACAGTGATGACAAATTTCCTTGTTATCCAATATAGAGATACACATTGTAAAAAAACTACCATATGCAAGGGGGTAAATTTTGTGGATCATTTTGCTTATCTACACAAATGAATATTTTTCTGGTTACAAGGAAGGCAATTCACACAAAATTTTGCAGCCTTCATTCAAGAGAAAAGAGGGGAAAACAAGAAACTAATTAACATGCACAAGCAAAGTATGATTAAAAGAAATGATCTAATCTAATGATGTTTTGTTAGGATGATGATGATGCTATAGAGTGTTGGGATTTTTCCCTGAACTATCCAACACAATTTCAAACAGCTCCCCTTCAGATTCCAAGTCATCAAAATCTATCTGCTTCAGATTATTCACACTGTTGCCATTGCTCCTTGCTGCAGTTGCGCTTCTGTTCAGCCACTGGGAATCGATTCTCCCCATGGAGAAAAGCTCCTTGCTGTCTTCATACCCTATAGCTGCTGGAGAATTGCTTGCCAGAGGCCCAATGAAGCATGGGTTTGGAGTTCTCTGCAGATTTGCAGCTGCATATTTGAATGCACTCTGCCCAAGATTCACCACAACCATTATGTCAGCATTTGCAGCTAAAGTTGGGTACAATGGGTTCCCAAATTCCTCGGATTTGCAGTGGATTTCATGGATAAGCTGTGAATCCACTGTGAAGAATACCTTCTTCTGGGTTGGATTGTACCCACACCCAATCACTTTCTCTGCTGTCCCCCATTCTTCCTTTTCTGATTCATTCACTAACATCATCCCTAAACACATCAAAACAAAGGTAAGTATATCATTGTTGAGCATATAGCCATTAATGTGCAATTCAACTATCAGAGCCATGCCAAAGGTCATGGGTTCAAATCTCAGCACCACCCATAAGCGACTACGGTTCACGTGTTGCTTAAACCCACTCCACTATCAGCTTAGGCTTTTAGTTGGGCTGGAATACATGTATCTGCAAATGATGTTTGGTTGTGGGAAATGAAAAGTAGGATGATGTTTGTTTCTTACCATCAAGACAGACAGAACCGTTGGAGTTGAATCCAATGGAACCAGGATAGCTCCCAGGAAGCTTCAATGGAAGAGAACCAGTTCCACTTAGCCCTACAGACAGGGCAACATGGTTCCTGATTTCCTTTCCATCGCCGATTGATTCATGAAGGCCGCGGTTCTTGGGTGTTTTTGCATTAATGTCGTCTGGGATAAGCTTAATTTTGTCATCTTGTGATCGCCGGCTGTCTTCTTGATCATCACAGGGAAAGACTGTGATCTCAAAATAAGCTTCTTGTGGGAACGGTGAAGCTCCCAATAATGGCGGACCTGGCAACGGGAGACAAGTCTTGATTACGGACGAAACGGGAGCGCCGCCCATTGCCGTGAAATTGTGTCTGCTGCTCGTGATTCTCTTCAGGACGCCGGAGTTACGCCGGAATTGGATTTTCTGCATGAAATCAGCCGACCCCGGGGAGACTTCCCAGCTTATCTTCACCTCCGTTTGATTACCATGGTCGCCGGGTCCGCAGGCGCCCAACAACGACCTCGCCGATTTAACGGACGTCGACGGCGTGTAGGCCGTGAAACCGAACTGCGACCACCCGTTCTCGACGGCGTCCGTGACTAAGGACGGGTGATCCGCCCAACTGAAAAACGGCTTCGCCGACGGCCCCCGCCGGAAAACGTAGTAATTGGTTTTCTTGGTGCCGTTTCTGTCGAGATGATGAAGACTCACATGGTGAACCTGAGATACCGATCTCCCCGCCGGCCCAACCTCCATAATCTCCGATCGCCGTTCTTCAACCCTTCCTCTCCCACGACAACATGCTTTCCGGACAACCATAATCACCAGAGAAACAAGAACTCCGGTCGACACCGCCGCCAACGTGATCTTCAACCATCCCTGCATCTCTCCGGCCACCTTCTTCCTCAATCCTCACCCACTTCAAATTAAACTCCTCACTTTTCTGGGAAATTATTCTTCTTGAAAAGAGCAAAAGATGTACAGAGAGGAACATAGATGCCTTTTGTTCAACATAAATATGAGGGCAGGCGTGGACTATGAACGATTCAAGAAAGGCTGCAACAGTGAACAAAAAAGACAGAAAAATTTTACTTCATTTCTGCTAAATACCCATAAACCCAAAAACTAAAATCAATTACACCAAGTCAAACCATGATTCCAGAAACCTCGTATGAATTTCAGAGGACAAAATTTGAAGATCCTCACGTGTGTCAAAGATCATATGAGGTCGGTTTTTTACCCACGGTGACTGTTTTATATTGGGGTTTAATTAGTTGTCTTTGTTGACTTGTGTATATCATAAATATATTTATTTATTACGTTTAAAACCGATGCATATTCTCTGCATAATAAATAGAAACGTGTTTTCAACGAGAGGGGGTTAAAGGTATGACCTTCTAGATAAGTTAAGATATTGAAGGATTATAATTTTGAATTTTTTTTTCTAATATTTGTTGTTTCAATCAAATTAATTGATTAGGAATTTGATAGTGTAAATAGACATTGATATAGGAATTTGTTGCAGTGTAATAAATGGAATAGAGTGTGTAAAATAAATAGGACAATCAGTTAAACTTGGGATGATCAGGTATTATTATATAGAATAAGATAAGATGAGTATAATGAAAATGAGTACTAGATGATCCTTGAGTCGGGATCAAACGAATTACTTATATTGCACATAGAATCAGTATACACTAAGTCGGTTCTCTGTCGTGCCTCCACGCATCTTCTCTTGACTGACTCATCAAGTCGAGTAGGTGGTCCAATTGTGGTTGACGCCTAACCGTGCTTTTTTTCTTCTTTGTCCGTGAATTCCTTGATTCTAGTCAAGTATATTTAAAGGTGCAAGTCTAGCTACTAGACAGACCGAATATGTATAACTCACCCGAACATTTTTAAATTGTCAAGATATAATAATAAATTATATTTCAATCATATAACTGGTCATGAATTATTATCAAATTACTTATTAAGATGTTAAATTTTTCATAATTAATTAAAACATGTTTATTACGAAGTAATTTTTAACCTTATAATATAAATCTAAACTAATCACCTTTTAGATTACTAACACTGTGTAATAGTCATGTAATAATATTGATATAATTGGGAAGAATGTAATATTGATATAATCATCCAAATGCACGATATTGATTATGTTTTTTTTTTCCCTTTTAAAAATAGCATTAAAAACCTTGTTGTTAGTCAAAACATAATTAATGTTTTGCCGACCGTTTCTTGAATAATTAATTGCAAATTAGGTAGACGTGCAAATGATAAAGATGTTGCCATCAAATCGAAGTAAAGCATAACCAAAAGAGTTGCATCCCTTAAGCCATTGAGGTTTGGGACAAAAAATGCAATTCAATAATAACCTTCCAATTATTCGCGGTACAAATATAATCATTAATTTTTAATGAAATTATAAATTTAGTATTTTTGTTATCACATTTTACATATCTTGTTTATTATTTATTTGTTAAACACTATTGTTATTGGCTGAAAAGTCCAAGCTAACCGGGAAATCTATTCCAAATTGCCGACTTCAATCAAAGATGAAGACTTAGGTAGCCAAAGATCGTGGCTGAGGTTGAGGCTGAGGACACCAAACACTTAACAGTCACAATTGAACTACTAAAAACGTTCTCATTAATCAAAGTTGTCTTACATCCCCATCCTATTCTAGCGTGGGCCAAAGGCCCAAATCAAAAAGAAAACTTAGTTCGACTTATCGACATCGGTCAAAGTTAAGGATTTGGGTGGGCCAAATATCATGAGTGAATGTTAGGATACTCAATACTGGATGACAATCACAATTGAACTACTAAGAATGTCATTTCTTCGGTTAAGAGTCATAAATTTTTTCTTCGGTTAAGAGTCATAAGTTTTTGGCACAGTTGCCGGAGAGAAATAAAAGTGGCTGTCGACCAATGAATATGCCATAACTAATTTCCATTGGCGGAGCCACAATGGGGGCAGTGGGGGCTGTTGCCCCCACTCACCCCTTTGCAATCTCTTAGTATATATACATTTATATGTAAAGATTACTAAAGAATTTAGTAGCTTAACTGGTTGAACCTTGGTTATGATATATAAAATGGCATGGGTTCAAAACCTACCTTTAGCAGTTTTCTCCCTTCCCAGCTTTTAATAAATGTTCAAAACCCACATGCAGCACTTTTCTTTCTTCCCACCTATTAATGAATGTTTTTTTTTTAAATTAAAGTATTTATTAATATAATTTCTTTTCGAGTATAGTTTTGGCTCCGCCCCTAAGTAGTCTATCATAAACATTTTATTATAATTTATAATATATTTGGACCATATTATAGGTAGGTGTTTGATATTTTGACATTAACAATTCTAACATCATTTTAAGCATGCCCCCACTGACATAATTTTCTGGATTCGCCATTGCTAATTTCAGCCTTTTTTTGTGAAAAAATATGTTGAACAATGTCGCCTTTTTTGGTTCTCTTTGCACGCCATTGATGAGAAAAAGGACCAATTTAATCTTCTTTTTCAGGGCCATTTTTCTTTTCTTTTTTGCTTTTAGTACCCCTTTTCCTTTTCCCCGCCTTTTTTACAATTTCAAAACTGAACCCCTTTTTTTCGGCAAATTATGTTGTGCATCCGTATGCACCATGCATGGTGCATACGGATGCAAAAATGACGTCGTTTTAATAAAACGCGCGTCTCCCCTTAAAAAAAAAATCAAGTTCGATTCCCAGCAACAACATATGAACTAAAATTCCATAATCGGTGAACTATAATTCCATAATCTAATCTATGAACTAAAAATTCCAGAATGAATGAACTAAAATTCCATAATCTATAAACTAAAATTTCAGAATCGATGAACTACAATTCCATAATCGATGAACTATAATTCCATAATCAATGAACTATAATTCCATAATCTATGAACTAAAATTCCAGAATGAATAAACAATATAATGTTGTTGCTGAGAATCGAACCTGAATTTTTTTTAAAGAGGAGATGCGCGTTTTTTAATAAAACGACGTCGTTTTGACATCCGTATGCACCATGCATGGTGCATACAGCATAACTATCCCTTTTTTTCAGTGTCATTGACTCGATTTGTTTATTATGGATTATGCTCATTCTCCATACTTTGGGCTACATATACCAGCCCATATTGTGAATGGGTATAATGGGCCGCTAAATTCTGTAGCCCAAATAGCTTGATCAATAAGGACAAATTATGCTGTGGAACCGTGTCCACCTTGCAAGGTGGATGCGGTTCCAAAACTATTCATAATTACGAATATATAGTTTAAAAATTATGAACATATAATTCTATAATTATGGACATAGAGTTGTGAACATAATTATGAACATATAGGGCTGTAATTATGAATATAGAGAAAAGATTCAAGATTTGTAAATATGAAGTTCAAAAATTATGAATATATAGTTTTATAATTATGAACATAGAGTGTTGTAATTGTGAATATAGAGTTCAATAATTATAAATATGAAGTTCAAAAATTATGAATATATAACTTTATAATTATAAACATATAATTCAGTAATTATGAACATAGAAACATGTCCACCTTGTAAGGTGGACAGCATAACGATTGCCAATTAGTTCCCACTTATCCTTTTAAAAAAATTAAATATAAATTAAAATTTGAAACCATGTTCCCTACATTTTGCCATCCTTTAAACTTGATAAATGATTCTTAATATACTCCGTAACAAACTAGTAATTTATGTTAATATTAGAATATAAATGCATAATATTATTTTTGTAACTAGTATTTTCATCCATGATGGAACGGATTTGTTATAATATTTTAAGAATATTTGGATCGATATACAATTATATAAATTATAACAACGAATATTATACAGTGCAATTGATGAAATGCGTTGGTCGATTATGTTTTATGATGTTATCATTGTTTGAATCCCAGCAAATAATTGTCCAATTACCCGTGCGATGCACGGATAACATTTTTATTATATATTTAGATAATTAAAGTAAAGATGAAATATAAACAATTTTAATATTTGAAACATTTATTTGATTATAAGATTAGTGCAAAAGTATCACTCAATGAATTGAATAATATATGACTCATTTGTCTGTAATTATCTTTAAAAAATCGATATATAATATGATTTATGTAATTATAGTATTACTAAAATAAATATGGAAAAAATGAGAAATAATTTAATTGTAAATATATATCGGTTCAAATGCGTACAATGTTTCCCATGCCGTCAGTGTGAATTCACCATCAGACATGTATAAATGCATCACACAATTTTCGAAAATGCACCACAATAACATGTTTTGATAACTCTAATCAAAACATATATTTTTAAACCAATTAAATTCATTGTGATATACAAAGTCCCACGCCTGAGAGTAAACCCAATGATTTTGGTGTTTTTGTTAGCAAAAAATAACCAAGGAAATTAAAGGAGAATAAAATTTTAAAAAGCTAAAATTTGAGGGTGGTCATACGCCTCAACAAGTGCATGAAAGAGACATACTTGTTGAGCGTGCAAATCATGATCTGAGATGCGTCCCATTATTATTATTATTATTTTTTAACATTGACAAAACCCCTTAAATAGTATACAAATTCATCTCCCCTCTCCCCTCTTCTTTCTCCCTACCTCACACACAAGTTGAAAAAAAAAAAAAAAAACTAATGTGAATGCTTTTAGTGTTTTATGAGCATGCAATATACTTGGGTAGTAGAAGTTAAAGGCGCAGCCAAATTAAATTAAATTTGTGGAGCTGAGGGCTAGCTACCCCATTAACTAGAACGAGTTTTAATGTATATATACAATTAAATATACTGTTAGCTTTATCCTTCTCGATCTGCAGATCAGATCTCGCCCATATATATATATATACGCCGCCGATACGTATAGTAGCAAGTGTGCTGGATGGCGGCGGCGTGAAAAGACTTGTCGATTCATTTTTGTGATAATACTAATGAAACAAGTGGCCTTGGCTTGGCGGCAGCACATGTCGTTTTGTTTTGTTTTTCATACTATTCCTCAAATTATTATCGTATCATATCTTTCAGACAATTAGCGGTTCAATTCTTGTCATTTTATCCAAAGCCAAGCAATTAGTCCAATTGCACCATTCCGTGTATGTATTTCGTCTCATTAATTCATCATATTGTAATTATAATTTAACAAAATCATCATAAGCCATCAATAATGTTAATAACTTGTTTCAGACTAACTCAATATTGTAATTAAACTACTGGTCTAATAAGGGTTCAAAAATTTAAGATAGTGACTTGAGATTGACCTGTTCGATGGTGTTCATTATTATCTTAAAAAAGTATATTTTTGCCGCAACATTATAGTATGAATATAAGCATCGCCCCCAATATTAACACATAACAAAACTTGTAAACCTGTCAACTTAGATCACTATTATGCAAAACGGACAGAAATAACAACAACATGCATATAGATTTTTTCCTAGCTATATATCCACATTTTCGCTCCAATTAAGAAATAAAGTACTGGACATATTAATTTTTTATACAGAAAATGTTATGAGTACTTTAACCCACAAGAATAGTAATATTACTATTACTAACCCTTATATCATTATTTAATTTGATTTTTTTTATCAATCAAACGTGCATAAAACGTAAAGAATGAATGATTGAATTTGGGAAGTGGAATTTGAAACAAGCTAAGGCGACAAGGGGGATAGCAATATAGCATATATATATATATATATATATATATATATATATATATATATATATATATATATATATATATATATATATATATATTAGCATGTATGTATGTATATATGTATATATATGTGCAGAGGCCACCATCCAGTCACCAGCTTTCAAACAGGCATAGGTTGAAATTGATTGGGGCAAATTGCGTGGACGAAATGCCTTTCTCAACCGTCTCAACCCCCCTTTGTCATCATCTATCACCGACTTATATTAGTCTTTTCTTTATCTCTTTCTTCCTTTTTATTTTATATATATGTATGTATGTATGGATCCCCCACTTTGCAATTGAAAATTTGAAATATAATCTCTGCATTTATATATATATCATGGCATTCAACACAACTGTACTAAACTAGTGTTAAAGTCACTGTCACTATTTCAATCATATCATCACCTATAAAACTATTAATGCATTTAGTTTAGTCAGTTGGACCTTCTGTGCCCAAACCATCACCCACCCCCTTCCTACTACATTAAGATCATTTAATGTATTTTTTTTTAAATCATTTTATAAACTCAATAATTAGTAGTAGATTGTGAGCAATGACATACGATGCAGTACATCATGATAGCTGTTGTGTGAGAGTTTCATTATATTCGATGTGATGAGCTTAGATCACAATGAACGACAGCCCAAACCAACACAATCTGTCAATAACAAAATATAATGCAAAAAAAAAAAAAAAATTAAAAGAAATAGGGTATTGTTAGTTATTACTTGGAGCGAAAAGATTTAGACAGCCCTTTTTGTCCATCTATTAACATGTTAAGACAAAAGTGAATATGCTTACAATTGTTTCATATATGTAGTGTTCTTTTTCTTTTATTTAAAAACATTAGAAAAAGAGATAATATAAGTATATATATATATATGTATGTATAATAATGTATGTAGTGCTATGATCGATCTATCATGACTATAATAATTGGGGTGGATGTATATAGTAGTAGAGAGAAGAAAGAATACTAATTAATGAGAGGTGAGGCTGTGAAGAGTGGAGGCGGGTGGCGATGGACTATGTCGGCCAAATTTGTACGTATATGTATCTTTAAGGATGGAAGATCAACGTGGCGGCCGCGTCTCACGACAAATACAAACCAGCAGCCAATTAGGAAACAAATGCCCTTGCTTCCCCCCCCCCCCCCACCCCCCACCCCTACCCCCACCCCAGACATATATATGCTAGGGATAAACATATACAATATTTTAAGCCATACCAAAATATGTCGATAATATAAAGTATAATTCTACGTTTCTATATATAGAATATTAACATGCACTTACTTTATTATTGGATAAGCAACGTAACCTGTCACGCTACCTAAATGATTTGAGTTACATACCATCTGCTAACAGAAATACGTCACATAAAGTAATCTGTTACTAGTCATTATAGTACTAACTCGTTACTTAAATGCAAGCATGTTGCTTCATATGTGCTCATCAAGTTATCTTTGCCTTCAAATTACAACATTTACTAGAACTTTACAATAGTTTAATCGATACTATTTGGCGGCATAGAACTAAACGAACTTTGCTCTTAGTCATCTTAATAAGTTCATTCAATTAGTACATTCTCATCTCCTATCTTTTATTCATGACAGAGTGTAACTATAAACTCTTGTCTCAAAATAATTTACTCGATTTGTACTAATAATATGTGTACATTAAATTTAGTATTTTATGTGATTTCAATATATTATTTTGAATGAATATAATATTGTATGAGATTATCTTATTGTAAAATATGTAATATCTTTCTAGTTAAAATATAATATTACTTAGGAGTGCATAAAAAAATACATTTTAATTTTTTAAAAAATATGATCCTACACAAAACTTTATTATTTTTGGCAAAATTGCAGTTTGAAGGGAAAAGTTGGGAGGTGGTAAAATTTGCCCCACAAACGCCTTCATCATCTCTATCATATCCCTTCCCTCTCTGAATATAAAAGTCTCAGCCGTTTTATTTCCACACGACACCTCCATATAAATATGACAGCTTGGGTCGTGGCAATCGTTTCTTGGTAGACCATCTCAATTGGATTCCGGATTATTGCTTTCATGGATTCATTCCCCTTTTCTTTTCTTCTTTTCTCTCTATCTCTATGTTAGCTTCGCCTTTCTTACACTTTTATACATAAACCCACCTTTTCCCCCTTATCTTCCTCACCAGATCACTACCGGAACTGAAAAAGTAGGAGGTAGAATAAGTTCTTGATTTTCCGGCGATGGAAGGATCGGGAAGAGCCGCCGCCGAGAAGAGGAAGCACAGCCGGCAAAGCCAGCAGGAGAAGCCGTACAGAGGGATCCGCATGAGGAAGTGGGGGAAGTGGGTCGCCGAGATTCGCGAGCCGAACAAGCGGTCCAGGATTTGGCTGGGCTCCTACTCCTCCCCCGTCGCCGCCGCCCGCGCCTACGACACCGCTGTCTTCCATTTGCGCGGCCCCTCCGCCCGCCTCAACTTCCCGGAGTGCATCGCCCCCCACGACGACCAGCTCCGCGACCTCTCCGCCGCTGACATCCGAAAGAAAGCTACCGAGGTCGGAGCCCGCGTCGACGCCCTCCAGGCAGCTCTCCATGCATCCTCCGCCGAGCCCACCTCCCCGTCTCTCAACCAGAACCGGGTCGTTCTGTTCAAACCCGACTTGAATGAGTACCCGACCCCCGACAGCTCCGAGGAAGACATCTAAATCTCAAAAAAGGGTTACCTTATTTCTATGGTTGTGTATGGTTAGGTTTTGGTTTCACAATATTTTATGGTAACCCTTAGCTCCATGATTGATGCCGATGTTCTTCAATATAATCCAAAGGGATTATATGTTAATATTTACTTTCAGGTTTTTTATCCAGTAGCTATTTTCTTCAACTTTATAATCAAGAAATATAGAATATTAACAACCCAAATCAGTTATTATTCCTCTTTTTTTTCCTTAATTTCTCCTCAGCTTGTTTGATTCTGCCATTGTTCCATTCGCATGTTAATGAATTGTTGGTAGTGGAAGGCAAAGAAAATGACAGGAATTGAGATGATGATAAAAGGAAACAGGCTAGTGGCCTACATAACATATAATCAGTTCCCAGGCCAACAAATTATTTATACAACAGAACTAAGTTGATTATCCTGTTGACTTATAATTACAAATTAAATTTATAAATTCTGAAACTATTATGGCTATTTTAAACTGATTTATCTCTTTTGTTCTTTGAAAAAAAAAATTATTATTTTCTCAATTAATTTGTGTCTTAAAAAATTAGTTTTATTTCATAATTCGTGGGGAAAAAAAAGTAGGGTGGGGGATATAAGTATATAACAACTACAAATATAAATTTTCGACCGTACGATATTTTATATAAAAAAATATTTAATAAAAAATGAATGTGGATATATAATAATTATTATGATTGCGATTGAATACTGCAATAATCTGATTAGCTTGAGTGTGAAGTCTGAAGTGTATGTGGAAGGCACCACCGTCACACGCGCGACGGAGGAGGGAGGAAGTGGGCCGGAGTCATTGTCAAGGTCCTCTGATTTCATGGTGGATGATGGGGAGGTGGGCGGTGGTCATTTTTTTGGTTGTATTTTCTTAATTCAATTATTATTATTATTTTTTTCGGATGACGAGTGAAACCTATAGCTGTTATTTAAGGATACGGTATACACTTGGTAAATTCTTCCTTATGATCCTAACGGCTGATAAATGATCACAAAAAGATACGATCCTAACTGGTGATAAATGATCACAAAGAGATAACTTAATTTAAGTTATACCTATAGCTGACTGTTTCAAATAAAAACGGCCAATAGACCACACTTGCTGGAAGATAGATTCTTAATTCAATTATTGTTATATATACTACTATGAGAGTTGTAACAGTGACATTTCTTTTCTCTGCCGTCTACAATGGCTTGGCTTATATGTATGTATATACGTACATGTTAGGTTGGTGACTATGATGTAGTGATTGGAGGGGGACCAGACACATACTTAGCTTGTATTAATGTTCTGTACTTACTCTCTGATCGGTTGAATTTCTTATTTCTGTTGCGTTGTCTGTGGACTGTGGGTTTTCGCCGACCAATAATGGGAGATCAAGAGCCACAACCTCAAGAAAGATTATATTCCTAGTTTTATTGTGTTTCCTGCATGCAAGGGAACGGGCCATTATCAAGGAATTCAACCATTTTTTTTTTTTTAATTCCACCATTCATATTTAACCTCGTTGGAATTGTTAACTACCATTATTAATTGGTAGAAAAGATATAGGCCCTAAATTTGTTTTTATGGATTCTGACTCGGGTTCTTCACCTTTTAGAGGACCTTACTAAAATACGAATACCATATTACGTACACATGTTCACTATTCAACTACCATTATTAGCAGAAAAGACAAAGGTTCGATGGACCCTTAACTCGTGTCCTTCACCCTTAAGTGACCTTACTAAGAAATAGAGACATTATTACACGTGTCCAACTCCCATTAGTAGAAAAGACAAATTAAAGGCTCGTATATGTTGAGTGATTGAATGATCTATCTAGAATTCTTGTTCAGGTCAAATAAAGATAATGTTGCTCTTGCATTTGAGTATCTATCACTAGTACTCGATTAAATGAAAGAAAATCATTCAACTTTAAATTTTACATACAAGGAGTCCATGTGAGATCGTATCAAATCAACAGATTCCAGGGCGACCAATTCAATCTCGACCTACAAAGAATTTGCATGGGACGTGAACTGTAGACTCGCAGAGAATTGAACAACCTAGTATCAATAATCCATGCACCATCGCCTTCCTCAAACACAACTGACAACCATGATTCATGAATCACAAATGTTGTCTTGCAGCTAGCACTGAAGAAAAACCATTAACAAAAACTGATGATACAGATCAGCGTTGACTCCATTTAATTAACTATTTCACCTCCTCCATTTGTTTATATGGGGCGGTTGCATTTTCCACTTTCTTTTAAAACAACATAATCCATCCCTGATTGTGTCATGGAAGTCCCATAATGTCCTGAAAATTAAATTACCCCATTTTTTTTAAGTACGTGTTTGGTGGCTGGTTGTTCAGTCAGTACAGTATATTATAATCGCATCTTTTTATGTACAGCTGAGATATTTGAAGATCTTTCCTGCATTTTCTAATGCTTTGGTCGGCAGCTCCCATTTTTATTATGGCTGATGCAATGTGCATGGGTGGCAGGAGGAAGATGCCACAAAAAAATCAAATATAATTCATTTCAAGTGGAGTTAATTGCTATATATATTAATTATACTGTGGTCGGCTGGCCAGTCTTTGCTTATGTATTATCTGCTAAATCATGTATTAGTCTGGTCAAATTAAGATAATTACAACCCATAATGACAATCTGGAAAAAACAAACAAACAAACAAAAATGGGAGTTGGCGGTACAAGGTGGGTTGATAAATGACAAATTGTCAAGAGATATTTTTTTGGGACAATTCAGTCAAATTGATCGAACAGTTAACTTGGTAACTATAAACTCCAGGTTCAATCTTTGTGAGAGCTAGATGTCAACTGGTGGTCTTTTAATGGTTAATATTTCAAGGTGAACACTTCAAATAACGATTGCAGGTTTTCTTGTAAATCAAAGATTATTTAAAAAGAGAATAACTAAAATAAAAATAAAATACAATAGAATAAAAAGTCGGCAAAACACAGTTTTTAATTAAGATAGATACGGTGAAATTAATAAAGATGACAGCAGCAGCAGTTTTTGACGTTGACAAAATAATTTTTTCCCTGCAGGACACGATGGTCGCCGAGTTTGGCGCAATTAGGTTTTTGTTTACAATTGCTATGGTAGGACACATTGAGTCATTTATGGCAAAGGAAAAAAGAATTACATGTTTTAAACAATCCTATTATCCATTATCACTTTCTGATAATCATTATTAAGTTTTAATTCTTACCTAACTATTTAAGAATACGATAATAAAAGTATAATTGCACTTGAACCATTCAAAATTTTCATTTAATTAATATGAAGTACATGTACTATATCCCTTAAAACATTACAAAATACTTCAAATGATGTGAGGAGTATATAATAATTCGCGAAAAGTCTCATCACATTCTATATTGATTAACTTGGATTTTATTATTTTTTTTTTTTTGCTAATTAATGTTAAATCCTCTTATATAAAATCTCATACATAGTCAATGACATACATTATATTTCAACATTTTTTTATTGAAAATTTTTTATTTCACTGAATTTTCCAGCTAATAAGGTAAAATTAAATCACATGTAGAGACATAGCATGGTTAATTAGTCAAAGAAAAGTGGCAAGTGATTAATTGGAATGTTCTCATCATCACGTGCTCTTGGAGAGGCATGCCAAACTAGATTATATTCAGCAATCAAGACAGTCATATGTTACTAATAGCTAGACACATATTCTTGATGATTAAAGAAACATGATAAAGCTGTTGCACTAAGAGACATGGAGAGTAATGTTGGGAAGTTAAAAATGGCATCAATAATGTTGCTTTAGTAGTAGATATATGATATGATTGCTACTTGCTAGCATGCTCATCAAGATAGCCTAATGATACATGAAACATGCCAAAACTTATAAATTTCGTGACAATTTTAACTTTAATACTTTTATAACAAAATTTACTTTTTGTCACTAGAGTTCACATGACTTGCAGTTAAAGACAAGACACGTTAATTATTAAAAGTTTGAGCATCTGATTAAAAGATTTTACCAGAATTATTATGTCGCATTCACAGCTGCAGTAAGAATCTGCTTACCAATTGTCCGAAGCTAATGGATTAAGAAGAGTTGTATCACTTGGAGTCCTGGGGTGGGTTATAAACCAAACACTGATTTTATAATGGAAGTGAATTTCTTCATAAGCTAGCCATGTTGCAGCATGTTTTGCACCTCACAGTATTTGGAAGGTGATAGGAGTGGAGTATACAAGCTTTCACAGTAGTCCACCTACTACAGCTATTATGTTATAATCAATCAACAGGAAAAATCATCGCATCTTCAAAGTTTGATTTGCAACAAAAATATAATAGTATAAAATTTGGTCAGCAAATGCTCACTTACTGTGACACATGAGACTCTGGTGTGATACAGTGGGTTTCTCTCAGTCTTCAAGATGCCAGAATTGACAGAAAGATGTCCTAAACAACAAAAACACAATGAGAAACTGGTGAATTTTTTAGCCTTGTTTGCAACTGATTCGAATCTTCAACCAACCAAAACCACATATGGTTAGTAAATGGACAGGAGTGTTTGATGCTGGTTATCTGTCAATCCCCTTTCAAGATTACATGTGGTGTCACTGGTGTATTTAAACAAATAAGGCCCAGTATACCACATTGCATCAGGTTCCATTTGCAATCTTGATCATTTGTCAAGAGAAGAACCAGAAGACTCGACAAAAATGGCCCAAGCATAGTACTCCATAGTCCATAGTATTAACTATCTTAAAATTCAAATCTCCATGCCAAGAGCAAAAATTACAATGACATGAACATCGGAATATGGAATTGAAAAACATCCTGAGTGATGGTTATTAATTATATTGGACAACAGACTTGGTTCACCTGAAGATTCCTACCTTAAATAGTTCAGAGATTTTAGCCAAATATGCTGATGAAAGTAGCAAGTTACAAAATTAGACTAAACAAATGTAGAGCTCAGTGGAAGCTACAGCAGGGGTTGGATGAAATTGAGATGTGGAACAAGGCATCTAAGGGTAAGGGCAACCCTGGTCACTGTGATGAGGAACGTATTCCAATATATATTTACAGTATATATGCTTATGCTGTTAGCCTTGTACATGGTACAAATAATCTTGTCGAATGCAAAACTAGCCTTCAAGGCTTACAAGGGTGCTTTACAAATGGCTTCCGGCAGGTCCTAGTGGAGGTTTACGATTATCAACAATTCCTTAGCTGATCATATTGAACCTCCATAAGGGTGCTTTACAAATGGTTTTGGGCAGGTCATAGTAGAGGTTTAGGATTATCAACAATTTCTTAACTGATCATATTGAACCTCCAAAAAGGGTGCTTTACAAATGGTTTTGGGCAGGTCATAGTGGAGGTTTAGGATTATCAACAATTCCTTAATTGATCATGTTGAACCTCCATGGCAGATAATGATCCCCACTCAGATATTACACTTGAAAAAATTCTATAAAATGCAAAGTTCTACACATTGTATAAAGCTCCAAAATCTTAGCTAACATGGGACTGCAACCCAACCATCGAATGGAGTTTCATGGCAACATATATCTCCCTAACCATTCAAGAGGTGTTTAGAAGTGGAAAAACTTCAACTTGATTACTTCCAAATTATGGACTAGAAAATGTTCTTGATAGTGTATTCTCAGTAGAGACAGTTTTTATTTAGCTCATTTGGTTTCAGGGTTACTGCACTCAATACCAAGGGCATTAGAAATGCATAGTCAATTCATCTTTGGTAATGCCCACACCAGAGCACATCAACAACAAACTGTTTACAACTTGAAGATATATTTAGAAGTCACAGTAACAGATACTAACATGAGAATATACATAGGAAAAGCAGTACCAACATGCCTCTTAGTCTTAGATTTAAGTGTTAAATATCAACAAACTCAAAACATATCCTCCTAATCACCAGAACTTCTGATCAACTACAAAGCTTCAGTTTAAGGCATCTGATGTCCAGTGTAACTTTTAATCGATATTATTCAAACAAGAAGCTGGATGCAACCAATTTAATTAATCAGAAGCGCACATTAGCAGATAATTTGCTTTCTGATAATCATTACAGATTAAGTTTTAGAATGTAGATTGTATGTATGCATAGTTCCATGACAGAATCAACACAAACTTCTGATGCTGTTTGGTTTAAGTGATAGGACTAAGGCGGTAGTTTCTAATATACATAAAATTTTTCAGAAAATTGCAACACGACATCGCTAGGGCAAAGCTGGTAGTCTTACCTCCATGCCCTGTGGATGAAAGCTCAGGAATTCACGAAACTAAGCAGTATCATTGGGCGTGCATAAACCGAGGGCGAGCATGTCCTAGGAGACATATTCGCAATGCATAATTGCACTTGTGCGCTGCCGGAGAGCGCTAAAAGGTTAACGGAAAACGGTGGAGGCCGCCGGAATGGAACGCCGCCTTCAGGTCGACCAGAAGATTTGAAGATGAACTGTTGAACTCAAGTACTCGTATCGAAAACGGTGCCGTTCCGATGGAGGGGCTCTCCCGCCTAAATTTCTTATTTTCTTTGAGGTGCCCCATATTTGTTTAAATTATAGTGATCACCCCTCAAGTCTCCTCTGGTTCCAAAGGACTTGATTTCTTGCTCCAATAATGGGGGATGGGAAAGATTTTTAGGAAATAAGAATGGGGCCGGGAATTTTTTTTTTTTTTAATACAACTGACTCAGTTACAATGCAGTATATTTGGTAATAATTATTTTTCCTGAGGTTTGAACCTACAACCTCCTACATAAGCAGCAACTTAGTACCAGTAGACCACAAGGTCTTTAGTGGGCTAGAAATTTTATTATTCTTTAAGAATGGAGAATATCATTCTTTAGAAAATTTATTGTACTGTGAATCAGGATCCACCGTGTGTATTATGAACATTGATCCATGTCATGCATTTGCAGTAAGTATATTATATACGGAGTACTTTGCAATTAACATATTATGTAACTTCAGTTTAATTACTAACAACTCACATATTATGAACATATAACAATGTTAAAATATGCTCATAATAACAAACATTCGTGATAGCATAATGAGTATAGTATTGGCTTAAAGGTGTTTTCTACCATTAGAACAGTTTAGATTTTAAATCTTATATTTGAACTCGTAGGGAACCATTCATTAGAATTGGAGCAATTAATAAACAGAAACAAATGATTGAGCAACCAAATGAATTGAAATACATGGGTTAACACGGATGCACCTGCATAAAGCTATGAGCTTTAAAAATTAAAATCTCCAAACAAATTTGTATGTTTTGTGGCGGGAAACTAAAGTGCACGAAAATGGTCATTATTAACCATTCCAATGAACATTTTTCGATATTGTCTCTAGTCATGAAAATGAAGTAAGCTTTTGGGCTCACTAGCATGACAAAAGAATTGAATATGGAGCTTGGATTAATAGTGGAAAAGAAAGCTAAAGAATGAGACATTTGGACTTTAAAAATCACGAAGTCAATTATAAAGATCACAGGTGAATAGGTCATCATTCTCGTATAAAAAAGTCATGAGTTGATTATTGTCAAAATCCTTTTAGTCAAGCTCATTGCATATAGTTTTTATAGTGCGTTTTACCTCTATTGTGTTGTTTGCAAGTTATTATATAAAAGTGATACGTGTTTATTCAGTACACTGCACCCTTTTACATATGAATGAACACGCCATTAGTTGCAAAGTCGTAGGAATGGACAACAAAAAAATTGAATTTGATTGTTTCTGTGCAATGCACATGTTAACACGTACTATCAATATGTCATGATATTACTCGATTATATTTTTATACTTTGTAATTATATATTTAAAAGAATATATGTAGAAGTGGGATATTGGGATGTAGAGCAACAACAAAACGTTGCTTAAAAAGGGAGCTAAAAAGGAGCATAAAGGCATGATGAAACCTAACCAAACCAGCAAAAGCTAGCAAAGGAGGAGGAATAAAATGAAAATGAAAGTAAAAGGAAAGGGAAAAAAATTAAAGTAAAGTTTGTTAATGGAAAAGGTTGTTTCAGTGGCATCAATTCATGTACTCCCTAATTGTGTGTTGGACGACTGTCATCCATTTACACCCCTCCTAACAAATCCTTTTCCTTGCTCCCTTTGCACCCACTTTCTCTCCCATGACATTACCCTTATTTTAATTTCTCTCTTAATATTTTCCTTTAAATAATCTAAAACCTTTGCTTATAGTGTAAGATCTAAATGCATGATAAAAGTCTTGACTTTATATATACCTATATGTATGTCCACATTATATTTTGATCCTATATATTGTGTTATTTGGTTTGTTCACTAAAGGGATCACGTACTACTAATCATCCTTTAATTTCGATCTCTATCATTTTTAAATTTTTTGCTAACAAAACTATAACTAAGGTGCAGAAACGAAAGGTTATTTCGTGTTGAAAGAAATTGCAGTTACTATCTAATAATGTGTACGGGATAAACACTGTCTTATAACTTTAACCGAACAAAATGATCACAATGATGTAAGGCTAGTAGGGTGTGCCCGTACTATTTGTTTTATTATTTGTGATGTTTGATCATGCTGTCAAGTTTGTTCATATTAGAGGTTTTAATTAGCTAATGTGACATGCATGTTTCATTATAAATATATATAAATTGATCTGTACCAGTTGATTACTTTGTAATAAGTTTAAGTAATACACTAAGGGTGTGTTTGGAAACTTGGAAAATGAGTTCTGGAAATCATTTTCCAAGTTTTCACTGTTTGGATGTGCCTGGAAAATCAAGTCAACGGAAATCATTTTCCGTTGACTTTGGAAAATAGGCTTGTTTTGGAGGAAAATGACTTCCCCTTTTTTTGAGGGGAAGTCATTTTCCAACTTTTACACCAACATCACACCATCATCAACACCATACCACCACCACCACACAATACCACCTCAATCACCGTCGCCGCCACCACCACCGAAATCACCGTCGTCGCCACCACCACCACTACCACCGTCGTCGCCGCCGCCACCACCACCATACCACCGCAACCACTGTCGCCGCCACCACCACCACCATACCACCGTTGCCGCCACCACCACCACCACCAGCATCACACCGCCGCCACCACCACCACGACCATACTGCCGCCGCCACCACCACCACCGTACCACCGCAACCACCGTCGCCGCCACCACTATACCACCGCAACCACCGTCGTCGCTACCACCACCACTACCACCACCGCCGCCGCCACTACCACCACCATACCACCGCAACCACCACCACCATACCACCGTTGCCGCCACCACCACCATACCACCGCAACCACCACCAGCAGCATCACACCACCGCCGCCACCACCACGACCATACCACCGCCGCCACCACCACCACCATACCACCGCAACCACCGTCGCCGCCACCACCACCACCACTATACCACCGCAACCACCGTCGTCGCCACTACCACCACCGCCGCCGCCGCCACCACCACCATACCACCGCAACCACCGTCGCCGCCACCACCACCACGACTATACCACCGCAACCACCATCGTCGCCACCATTATTATTATTATTATTATTATTATTATTATTATTATTATTATTATTATTATTATTATTATATAACAAATAACACCACCACCACCATAATATTTTTGATATATTATTAGTTATTTTTTTTATTATATTTAAAATTATTATTATATTATTATATATTATTATACATGTTGTAATATTCTAAATAAAATAATTAAAATGTTTAATTATACAATTCTACTCATTTTCCAGAAAATGAACCAAACACACAAAAACAATTTTCCAGAATGTAACCAAACACTGGAAAGGAAAATATTTTCCGGAAAATGACTCATTTTCCAGAAAACATTTTCCAGAAGTCATTTTCCTGCTTTCCAAACGGACCCTAATACAAATTATTTGTTTCAATAAATTAAAAGACTAATAGTAGTTCAATTTTGTACATTTATATTATATATATACTCAATAATAATAATAATAAAAGTGATACAATTATTGTGTCAGTGCAGTGGGTGAGTGCATGGCCTTACGTACGTGTGAGATGGAATCACAGGTTCATAGCTAGAGAGCATCTAACCTAATAATGATTGAAGCTAAGGTTCCGATAGTTGAGGGTGATGATCGATGATCATGTCCTCTCTGATCTGTGTAAGCTAGCTAGCTACCAGAAGGAGTGGAATATATGTCGGACGACGATGACGTACTTGTAGCAGATCACGGCGGCGATGGGCCGATGGAGAGACACGTGGAAAAATGATGGCGTCGTCCTCCCGGCCATCATGACGGATTTCCACCGTTTCATCCACTGCACTGGATGGGATCCACCTCATCATGCCGCCCTTCCCATCATATACTTCCACAAACCTTTTCATTTGACCGACAATTCCCCGTCTAATCCTTGCCTTTCCACTAATGTTTTTTCACTTAACACTATGCTACCAACATTAATTAATATTCTTCGTATTTCCGACTCAAGTGGGTGTATATGGATAAATCATGTTTTGTAACATTAATCGATAAAATATTGAATATTGATCATTGCTCAATTAATGGGTCTCCTTGCTAACAACATTTAACGTGTTCCATTCTCTATATATTCTATTTTTTTGTTACGTAACTTTAAACTGTAATCTTGTTTTCACCTAGCCCCTATATCTAATTTACTCTATCAAATACATATATGATGGAAATAATATATATAAATTTCACAACTTTAATGTGTGGGTTGCTTTATGTAACAAATACATCTTAATTAAGTTAAAATACGGGATAGTTGATAAGACATTGTGGTCAATTATAATGCAGTGTTTACTATTACCTCCAAAATCGTTTTTGATATTGCTTCATCTGGCATTCTGGCCTGGTGTTGTAAAGACAAAACAACTTTTGAACTGTCATCCTTAACAATCCAAATATTACCATAAAAAAATAACCTTAATAGATCCCCCAAATTAAAATACTAATCCAATTTTATCCATTATGAGAAGTCTTTGTCTATGATGACTACTCTATTATACATTTTGAATTTCGGACCTTTTTCCTATTCTTGATCTCATAACCTCATGCTACTATACAGTGATACCAAACGAAAATCAAATTAAAATTAATATAAGTATGTGTGTGTGTAAAGCAACTGCATGCATGCTTGCCATATATATATAAATATATAGGCCCTCTTTGGTAAAAAATTGACTTATTGATCAATTTTAGTTTATTTGATCACTTTTAATTGTTTAATTTAGTTAAAATATCAATATAAGTGCTTAGTTAATTATCTTTTTGCAACTCTAAAATGCTAAAATTCAAAAAGTTACTCCAACTAACTTTTTCAATTAACTTTTTTCAGAAAAGAAATTATACCAAACAGCTATCAGCTTACAACTAATTTATCAAACAATTTTCTACAACAGCTAATGTTATACCATCTAATTAACACAATCACCTAATAACTATCAACTAACAATTATTTACCAAACATGACCATAATATGCCGTATGTTACAGATAAACTATTTTGCGTTGCATAGCCATCATTCAGG